TAATTTTAATGTAAAAAATAATATAAATATATAAATCATTAATATTTTACACAAAATACATACATAAATTATAAAATCTAATAAAATTATTTTGTGACAAAAGAATTAACATCGTCCTATTTTTTATGTAATAGTGTATAAGATTCTCCACGAGCATTTCAATTGAAAACATCAATACAAACTGCAGCTAGTAAAAAAGTAACACCAATATACGAACCCAAACCATAACTCAAGAGATAAAAAAAAAAAAAAATAATAATAATAATCTTCAATAAACAAAACCAAAATGTATTTTGTACTAGAAGTGCTACAGATACATCCAATTCCAATCAGGAGCGTAATCAATGACCTCAACAGATAAAAACCAACGGTTGTGATTAAAAGTTGGATTTGGCAATATCCAGCCCGTTCTAATCTTTGGGCTTTGAACTCCAACTAGAAACCCCTTTGATCCACATTTTAAATATCCGGACAGTGAAAAAAAAAAAAAAAAAAAAAACGTTGACGATGACAACCACCACCGGCGAAGAAATCGCAGCTCCGCTCAGTAAGAACTTCAACTCTCTTACTTTCACTTTCTTTTACTATCATTCTGATTTTCTTCCACTCCAAAAAACTTATGCGCAGTTCAAAAGTCCCGTTCCAGTCAAAACCAACCCGGATCCTCCTGTTCAATTCCGCCATCGCCGGACGACCTCGAGAACTCTCCAATCGAGCAAGTGGCTCTCACGGTCCCTACCACAGACAATTCTTCCCTTCCAACTCTCACGTTTCGTACGTGGATTTTAGGCACTCTGGCTTGCTTCCTCCTTTCTTTTCTCAACCAATTCTTCTGGTACCGTCGAGAACCTCTCTCCATCTCCTCCGTCTCCGCCCAGATCATGGTGGTTCCTCTGGGCCACCTCATGGCGGCGACGATCACCGACAGAGTTTACTTCAAAGGTCGGAAATTTGAGTTTACTCTCAATCCCGGGCCGTTTAACGTGAAGGAGCACGTGCTTGTCACGATCTTGGCCAATTCCGGAGCGGGAAATGTCTACGCGATTCATTTAGTCAGCGCCGTGAAGATCTTTTACAAGAAGAACATGTCGTTTCTATTGGCATTGCTCGTCGTTTTTACTACGCAGGTGCTGGGATTTGGCTGGGCTGGCATTTTCCGACGCTACTTGGTGGAGCCGGCTGCCATGTGGTGGCCCCAAAATCTGGTCCAAGTTTCTCTTTTCAGGTAAGCTTACGTGTCTCTGACTCGGTCTGAAGCAGCAATTTGTAGTTTTCTAGAATTGATTAAATGGTCAACGTTTCTTGCAATGGGGGTTTGCCACGTGTTCCTGTCTTATTGCTTAATTTTAATGCTGTCTCTTTCATTAATTTTGTCCTTGTGCTCGTAATTAACGAATTAGATTCCAAAAATCATGAGATTCTCTGAATCTAATTATTGCACGTTTTTCTTTTTAACCAACATTTTACTACTACAAAAGTTCTTTGTAATATTAAGCTATAGATTCAATAAAATCACATTCCGATTCATGTAAAAAGATTATCATTCAATATTGAAAATAAATATGATCAATCATCAATGCTGAATGTGTAAGAATAATACAAGGTTTAAGATTACGAAACAATAAAACAACTTTGGTGTTGAACATGCAAACTTCTAGTAGCCTTGCAAAAGTAAAACAAAATGAAGCTTTCTATGTAAAATGAAAATTGTTTCAAGGCGTACTGATAATACTATTATTTTTAAGGCTTATTTCACCCCTACTAATGATGGTACGGCAGTAGACTTCATGACCTTGGTACTGTACTGCTTTTTTTGGAAGTCTAAGTCAATGAACTCCTATGTGTATGACAGTCGACTGCCTATATGAACCGTCTTCTTTCTTGGATTCTTTTAATTTTAGAATCATATTTATTGATCTTGGAACCTTATTTTAAGCTATATGTAACTTAATATGATTTTTCTTTGATTAAGTCTTTTACTTAACTATATTGTTTTCATATTTTGAAAATATTTCTAACATAATGGCAGTTTTAGAGATGATTTCGATGAAGAACTTTATTAATTTTATCCTAGTCTACCATATTTACATCTATATTATTTGAATCTAGCTACCAAGTATTATTCTTGGGTAATGAATTTTTTATGTACTACTACTGACAAAAACCGTGAAATCACAGGGCATTACACGAGAAAGAGGAGAGAGCTAAGGGAAGATTGACAAGAAACCAGTTTTTCCTCATCGCTTTCATTTGCAGTTTTGCCTACTATGTACTTCCAGGCCACCTTTTCCCAGCTTTAACTTCCCTGTCCTGGCTTTGCTGGGTATTCCCAACTTCCATCCTAGCCCATCAGTTAGGTTCAGGACTCCGTGGCCTGGGGATTGGTGCCATTGGATTTGATTGGTCCAGCATATCCGCCTACCTTGGAAGTCCGCTTGCTAGCCCTTGGTTTGCAACTGTTAACATTGCTGCTGGATTTGTTCTTACCACGTATATTATCACCCCCATTGCTTATTGGTTCAATCTCTTCAAGGCCAAGAACTTCCCAATATTCTCAGATGGCTTGTTTGCTTCTACTGGGCTGAGTTACAATATTTCAGCTATTATAGACTCAAACTTCCACATTGACATGGAGGCATATGAGCGTGAGGGTCCTCTGTATCTCAGCGCCTTCTTTGCCATGTCTTATGGTGTTGGCTTTGCTTGCTTGACAGCCACTGTTGTTCATGTTATGCTTTTTCACGGGAGGTAAGTCTTACTAACCTGTTTGCCTAGCCATTAAGCATAATTCTGTTCCCTCTCATTAGTTCACTGTAATGAATCTTAGATTCCTATTACTTGACCTAGGGGCTTTGCTATACCATATAAAGCTTAATCACAAATAGAGTGCATCTTGAGTTCTGCTCTCCACTTGAAGTGCATGTATTCGAAATTGTTACTCAATGGTCATTTAGGCCACTTGCTTAATATTTGTACTGTATGATATATGCAATCAGGCACAGACAGCATAAACTGATATCTGCCTGTTGTTATGTTCAGTAAGTTAAACTCACTTTTGTTAATGGTGCAGAGAAATTTTGCACCTAAGCAAGTCTGCCTTCCAAGAGAAGAAAATGGATGTGCATACAAAGCTCATGAGAAAATACAAGCAAGTTCCCGAATGGTGGTTCATGTGCATCCTTGTAATAAACATTGCAGCAACCATATTTACATGCCAGTATTACAATGATCAACTCCAGTTGCCATGGTGGGGTGTTTTGTTAGCTTGTGGTTTAGCCATATTTTTTACCCTCCCTGTTGGAGTTATTGCTGCCACAACAAATCAGGTATATAGCCTTGCTATTTCATAAATCATGTATAGCCTAGCTATTTCACAACAAATCAGGTATAGCCTTGGTACAGTGTTTTTTACCAACAATTTATGTGTGCTTAATGCTTTGTAATGAAGATGATTATTTGGAAGCTTCTCTGCCTCTTCTTCTACAACTGCTATATTGCATATCACCAATTTTATCTAAATTTGGCAGATTATTCGCACATCTAATTAAATAATTTTCTTCCACTCAGATAATTTGCTAGTTGGTTTCTCCATGTATTCTGTTCGTTTTATTTCAGTATTCTGACAAGGGCAAATTTTCTTTTGCAGACACCAGCTTTGAATGTGATTACAGAATATATCATCGGGTACATATACCCAGGGTACCCCGTTGCTAATATGTGCTTTAAAGTATATGGATACATAAGTATGAAACAAGGGATCACCTTTTTGCAGGACTTCAAACTTGGCCACTACATGAAGATTCCTCCTAGAGCCATGTTCGTAGCTCAGGTTCACCTTCTCATGATTCTTTTCCTTATTAAGAACCAAAAAAGAAGTTGCAATTTTTAAGGTGTTTCTTCCTGCAGGAGTACTTTATAAATCGCTTTGTCCCTTCATCTTCTCATGGTATGATATTTTTATCAGGTGGGTGGTACAATAATAGCAGCATTTGCGCATTTAGGAACAGCGTGGTGGCTTATGGATACAGTTGCAGACATTTGCAACAGAGAATTGCTTCCTACTGGCAGCCCATGGACTTGTCCTGGTGATCATGTGTTTTATGATGCCTCTGTTATCTGGGGTCTGATTGGACCTCGCAGAATCTTTGGTGATCTTGGCTACTACTCTGCCATAAACTGGTTCTTCTTAGTTGGGGCCATAGCTCCTGCCCTTGTTTGGCTTGCAACTAGGGCCTTCCGAGACAAGCCATGGATTAAACTTATTACTATGCCTGTGCTCTTTGGTGCGACGGTCAACATGCCACCAGCTACTGCTGTCAACTACACCAGTTGGGTTCTTATTGGATTTGCGTCTGGTTTTATTGCTTATAGATACTACCGTGGCTGGTGGAGTCGCCATAACTATGTTCTCTCCGGGGCACTTGATGCTGGATTGGCCTTCATGGGGGTATTGCTATACTTGTGCTTGGGGATGGAGCATGTTAGCCTTAGCTGGTGGGGAAGTGATTCAGATAGTTGTCCTTTGGCTTCTTGCCCTACAGCCCAAGGGATCATAGTTAAAGGCTGCCCCGTTTTCTGAGTGAAGCAAGTGTTAGCTCATGCTCTTTCAGGTAAATTGTCTCAATTGTGTGATGCTTTTCTCCATTGGTCATTTGTATATAAGCTTGTAATGGTGTTAGAAATATTTTTGTTGATTCTTGATTAGAATATAACAAATAGATTTATACTTATACACCATCGGCGCATATATCTTGTACATTGTTAATGAACAAAATACTGTCATTTCATTAGTGAATAAAACTTAAACATCTGGAAAGTCTTAAAACTAAATACACATATATTTCTAGTAGTCTTCTTTTCTTATATTTCTCTTCAGTCCTAATATTTGTTTTAGAAAGAGCAAGGATTTACCAAACTTTCGGTTATGGCAGTTTTCTTTTGGAATACAACAAAACAATCAAGATTTCTTTTAGTTTTTCTGAACTTCTTTTCGACTGCTGAATTTGGATTAAGAAAGAAGGTTTTCATAAACAATTTAACATTGGGTTACAAACTAAAAATGATTCAAACCCATACACATAGAAGGGGAAATAATAATAATAATAATAGTAAAATGGCTTTTCCCCTACACCTGAGATTCAATTATATATCAGAATATCTGCTACATAAACATATAAACAAGATTACAAACAATCACAGCTCTTCTTTTGGTTTCTCTTCTACTTTTGCAGGCTTCTCCACTATTAGAGGAAAACCATTCCCCACCCAAGCAAGATAACCTCCTCCCATGTTGCTCACATTCTTAAAGCCCTGCAATGTAATGGCATTGAGTACAGTCAATTACTACTGGTCTAGTCTAGTCTAAAACCCTGATCCAGATGGGGTTAGTTCTGGTCCCAATGACTTACAATTGAGAGAAGATCAGCAGTTGCATAAAGGGATCTCACCCCACTTTGGCACCCCTAAAAGAAAAATGACTTGGATTAGCCGTCTTCCAACTCCCATATCTTTCATAGTGAGAAAGTAAATAACAAATTCAAAATTACCACGACAAGAAGATCGTCCTCCTTGCAACGAGATGAAACCTCCTTCAAGAATTCAGGATTTTTCACCCTACCTGCACTCCAAAATCATATAACATTATTACACTTCACTAATACCAAAATCATAGCTTGCAGTTGTGAGAAACTAAGGTTAGACCTTGTAGTGTGTTGAACATGTATGGGATATTCAGGATCCTCTCCGCATGCACATGTCCCTTCTTGTACTCCTCCACGGTCCTGTGATAAGAAATGAATCCCAAACACAAATTTGAAAGGAACTTCAATGAATAAAAGGGAAAGAAGAAATAACCAACAAATTTAAGAACCCTGTCGATGAACAAAGACTCAAAGAATCCTGTTACCTGACGTCAATGTAAATATTGCCTGACTGAAGCAAGTTTTTTGCTTCAGTAACATCAATGGTAACAACTTCTGAGCCTGAGCTGTAAAAGATGAGAAGAAAAAGAAACAAACCACAGGGGAAGACAACCAGAGAAACACCCATATCAAAGTTATGCACCAACTATAGTAAGAGAACCAGATGCTGTCCTAAATCCACAAAAGGACAAACAGTCACCTTATATCCAGATAGGCCATGGAGAAAACTGATTCGCTATTTATATGTTAGGCTTTGCCGACTTTCTGCCGTTGTTTCTCAGAACCTGCGGCTGTTTCCTGGGTTTTTTTTTTCCTGGTGAAGATGGAAAAAGTGGGATGAGACTGGTTACGCTACTTGAAAAGATATTGGCATTTGTTTAACCGCTACTGCAGATTCTTTCCGCACTTTCTTCCATGTCCATGGGATAAGGATAACGACCAGTAGTAACTCCTACTCAGCAGGTGCGAATAACATCGTGCCACGTCATCTGTGAAAGTAAAGGAGCAACCAAACATCTACCTTTTTCTGGTGGAACTCTTTCTCCACTACAACTCCCCACCCATGATGTTTCTTTCTCGTGCTTTTACAATTCCACCCTTTAAAATTTGCCGATATGAAGTATTCATTTATTTCTTCTTTGTTGTTCATCAATTACAAGAAAACTATTATTATTATTTTACTGCTATTCAAGATTAAAAAAAAAAAAATGAAGGGTGAAATTCTAGCATGAATATCCACTAGCCAGGGGCTTTTCTTCATAATTTTGTCAAGATACTCGAGGTTTGAGAAAAAGGATCACAATAAGCTTTTGGGTATTTTTTGCCTTCTTTTTCTCTTTTTGCTTTTTTTTTTCCCAATCTCCAACGCTGTATTTATGCAATAAGAAAGACGGCTTTTAAAATTTTCAGCCATTTAGACTGAAGTACCATTTACAAGGATTTTGTCCAGGGAAGACAGTTACGTTTTGGACCCTTTGGTTGAAAATTAGCTGGGACGACGCCCGTGGATCAGTTTGATGCGGGAAAGAAGCTTTGTTGGTCATCAAACTGCAACAATTTTACTGGCTCCAAATTTAAAAGGGTACAACAGCATCATCTCGAACATTTTGTCCTTGCTTTGCAGAGACACAGCTGCTGAAACAAACTTCTGATCCCTCGCCAGCACAATGCAAAACTGAAACATAACATTAGAAAGAATACAAAATTAAAACCAGAGGCATCTGGGGGAAAGCAGTTCACACACTTCATATAATCCAATCGAGAGACGTTTACATCATACCCAATTTGAAAAACAAGCCAAATGATCACTGTCCAATTATTGATTCTAAACTCTGCTGTTGCTCCTCTTGATCTGTCAAAGGAAGACGAAAAGATTTTACTGACAATAAAACATGTTGGGATAAGATTCTTATCTTTGCAATTTAGGAGGGGGTGTAGACAAAATATGTCTTCATGACATGCAACAAAGCAAAACAGACTGGCAATTCAAGTAACATTTTCCACCACCAAATGCCATCCTTGCACGATTAGACCAAGTTCTAGCCAAGTATACACTAACAGGGACATTTCATCCCACTGCTATTTATGTCTCTCAACTGGGACACTAAGAAAAGGCTTCCATAGCCAAGACAAAGAACTTTCTACAATCTCAAATTGCTAAGAATGAATCACCTCAACCAAACCCCAAAAACGAGCACAAAAGCTAACTGTAGGCTGGCTCACGTCTTTGTTTATGCAAGGTCGATATTCAACACACTTTTGTAAAAGGCATCCTATTCACACTTTTATCATATTGGAAATGCAGACATGTCTGATGCTCAACAAACTATCAAGATTTCTGCAAATACCATTAACAGTAATGCTTAGAATTATTCCTCTAACCTTCATAAGCAACTTCTATGAATGTACTTAGTAGTTAATTGAATGTTCATGGGGATTACTATGACCATGAAATTAGAGAGAATAAGCGATGTCCAGTATAAAAGTTACCAATTAGTAGATCATAGTATCATGACAAACATGGTGGTACATGCAAAATGTTGGTTGCAATTGATCTGCAAAGAGCTACCATATAGCCCCTTTAATTTTTCCAGTTAATTCATAAATACACATGATTTCACATTTACAAAAGCTTTAAGTTCAGAACAAACAATTTAGCTTACAATAAAGATAGTGCCATACCTTTTATAGTGTATGTAACTCTACAATATGAATAATCAATGAGCAGAATTAATGCTGCATCATTAAACATAAACATACAACCAACGCCTTTGCTCACTAACCTCAGAATATGCAATTTTGGTTGTCATATCGAGTTTGCACACAGGGCAGAATGTCCCCCACTTAGTCAGCCATGACTCTACACAGCTTGAATGAAAATCTACAGGCAACTTTCATGTTTATTAACAGATATCTACATAATAATGCTAGAGTAATGAAACAAGAACTCAAAATAAAAACGATAGAGAAAACAAGCTTTAAATGTGGTGTTCATCTGTCTGCAAACAAAATACTCTCTGTTTCAAATTGTGAAGTCAAAGTGATTTTTAACTTAAATGGTTGAATAAGTGCAAGAACGCATAAACGGCAGTGCCTACAATCGATGGTCCATAGCTTTAGGGATTAAAGTATTTCCCCTACTGCATAGTTTCTCATATTTTGAATTTGTGGAAATCTACAAAGTTCGCGATGAAGGAATGTAGCATAACTAAAAACCATGTATCTTCCACTTTCTACATTTTAAACAGTTGAATTCCCATTGTCATGAAAAAACAAGCTAACTAGTAACAGCAAAGAGATTCCTCATAAGGTGGGAAGTTAAACAATGATAAAATTACACACAAGTAAAAAAGCACTGCAAATCAAATATTAAATGCTAGAGATAAGGCGGAGGAGCAAAATCCTACCATGTTGACAAGGGAGAAGTTTAAGAATTTCCCCATCCTTATAATCCTCAAGGCAAATTGCACAAGTTTCTCCGGTAGTACTCAAACAAGCAGAACTAAATGCAAGACGAGGAAGAGCTTCAACCATCTTAGTATCAACGCTTTTCACTAAACTTGCTCTTCGCCAATTGGACAAGCATCTAGGAGCAATAAAAGCTATCACCAAGAAAGCTGCTATAACAACAAGTGATAGAAAACATATAGAAAAAACTGTCAATGCCTTCCCATTCAGCGGCGAATAAATGCAGCATTCTCCTTTTTCCCCTTTAGCATGGTCTTTCAAAAATTCACCAGCAGATTTAGAAACGAAAACCGCTAGCACTTGGATTCCTTTAGGGTTCACCATCACTTCAAACAACAAAATGCCTCTTTTAATCTATTATTAGATAATTGTCTAATATTATAAAAAAAACTTAATTTAATTCAATTAAATTAATTTTGAATGAAAACCCATTGACAAAATTAACTTACTGTAGACTAAATTGCCCCCATCTTTATCATCGTAAACAATTGCAGCAGAAAAACCCCCACTCTGAGCGTTTTGGATTTTTTCCTCGAAAGAACAATCGCCTCTAATTATTAAAGCAAACCTTATCGGGTCAGTTTTGTTGAATCCATATTCTTTTTGGAGTGGAGTACAAGCATTCAAGGGATCCGCCACTTGAAGAGCACCGCAAACGCCAGTGTTATTCCCAAGAGCTAAACAACGCAGAAAAATAAAAGCCAGCTACTTTTATTTTTCTTTTTTGAAGTTCGAGTTTTTTTCAAGAATTTCTAGCTTAAATTAAAGCATAAAAACAGTTAAGCTCGAAAGAGTTTGTTTTGCTAAGTTCTCCTGCATTTTCCTAGTAAACAAACAGAAGGAAAAGGAAAAGTTACCGAATTTGGCAGGAAGGTCGGGGAAGGAAATGGAGAAGGGCTTCAAGACAACAGTAGCTGAAGATAATTCAATGAAATAAGCGATAAATACTAAGGAAAGTCCAAGCAAAGTTTCTCTCATTGCTATCTTTTTTTTTGTTCCCCAACTTGTTCGAGCTTAGCTTTAGATTGCAGATGAACAGCCAAGTGAAAGAGGAGTCTTGGAGAAGGCTCTAGCTCTGGGGAGCAACGTCGTCGTTTTCTATAATTGATAAGACGGTGCGTTTAAGTTGGCGGAAAGGTCTACGACTCTATAATCTATATTTACGGTTTCTTAAGGGTTAGCGAACTCTGAGGCAAGCAACCTTTTGGTTTGATGATGGAGAAAATTTCGAAATTGCCATTGCCAAAAGCGTTTCTTAACTTTCTTGAAGCAAATGGAATCGACCCTTCAATTTATTCGGCCTCTGATTCAACCCCTCGTTACCTAAGGTAACTTAAAACTTCCTTTTATCTAACGCTGAAGCTCACGCCTTTATTTTATCTGCTTTAATTGTTGGTTTACTTTGCTGTCTTGTTGGATTGATTTGCAACTCATTTGTTTGCTTGATATGTCTTTTTTGTGTGCGTGTGTGTTTGTGTGTGTTTGGGAAAGGTTGAAACCTGGGAGTGAAGCTGAACTTGAAGAAATTGAAGCTGAGATAAAGTGTAACCTTGAGAAAGTGAATTGGTTACCTGGTTTTTATTCTCTTTCACCTGATATTCAGATTGCTAATTCAAAGGCATACCAGGATGGAAAGGTGAGGAATATGGCATTTATATCAATACTTGTGGTGATATTTTAGCCTAGTTTCCTTGATTGAGACCTTTGATATTTAAAGTTGTCTGATATTGTATATGTATAAAGTGATTCTGATCACTTTATTCCCTCTTATCCTGTAGAACTGTTTGAAAACATGGTTGTAGCTTATAATTTGAAGTTTCACACTTGAATGTTTGTTGTCTTTTTAGGCATTTTTTTCAGGATTGTCAAGCATTCTCTTTCATATCCTTCAATATTATTATTGTTTCAATATTTGTTTTGGTCTTTCAGATCTATGGAATTGATGCTGCTTCTGGAGCTGCTGTCTCATCTTTGAAAATCTCACCAGGGGATCATGTTCTTGATCTGTGTGCTGCTCCCGGTAATTGATCTTTTCTTCTTGTGAGTATTATGGTCAACTGGTTTAGTATATTGCTCATAAATTTCTTAGTGTAAATGGAAGACTTCATAAAATCCCAACCATTGTAAAATGCAATTTCTGTTTTCCATCTTGAAGGGATGATTCTACACAAGTTTTTCATGGGGTATGTATCAGTGATTCTGTTTATTATACTGGGTTAGTTGGTTTGAATATTACTGAAAACTATATTAGTGTGCATTCTTTCTCTTCTTATGATCGACATGTATTAGGGAGGTAGACTTTTTCAGGAAGGATATGGTTTGAAAGGATAACTTCTAAGATTGAATTCTCAAGTATTTTTTAGATGCAGCTTGGCATAGGATGTTATATTCATCTAGCATGCTTTGCCTGATTTATATATCACATGTGTGAAAAATCTTCAGGTGCTAAACTTTGTATGATGTTGGATCTTCTTGGTGATTCGGGTTCTGTAACTGGTGTTGATGTTGCAAGACATCGTTTAGCTGCTTGTAGAACAATGTTGCAGAAATATTCTTTGGGTGATCGGTGCCGACTATTTGTTGCTGATGGAACAACATTTTCCCTTGCTCCTGTCAGGCTTGATTCAGTTTCAAAATCTTGTAATAAATCTAAATTCTTTTTATGTATTTCTTGAAGCCTTAAAGTTGATCCTACAAAAATTTTTAAAAACTCTTTACATACATGTCTATCTGCTTTGACATGTTCTTCTGTCTAGTATTAAACAGGGGATTCTGCAGTTGAGGAAAAAGATGACAAATTTAGGGAGTGGACTTTCAGGAGACCATGGAAAGAAAGGAAAAGAGCAGCTAAAGCAAGGGAAGCCAAGTCCTCACAATTGATTGCAGTGAGTGAAAATCCTGAACTTATTTTCTATGGACGGCATTCTGGAGTAGTTGGGCTCTGTACAAATGAACTATATAAAATTGTGTCTGATCTTGAAGTGTCAAGCTGTGGTTATGACAAGGTGAATTTGCATTTAGTTTTAAATCAGCTGGCAGTCAAATGTCTTCTTTTTTTTGTTTTCTTGTTTTCTTTATCAAATACAGGCTAATAAGTGCTTGCAACTTAATTCAGGTCCTTGTGGATGCAGAGTGCACTCATGATGGATCAGTCAGACACATCCAAAAATTTGAACATTGGGGCTGGAGAACTCTTCAACGACGTGTATTGGATGCAGAGAGAACAGACAGCTTAACCGTGCTTCAGGTAATGTCTTTTTTCCTTCCCAATATTTTAAGTTGTTAATTTAGGCATCTGAAGTTATATTTTGATTGAGAGAACTCCTCATGCTCTTCTTCCCCATGGTCCATTTCATTCTATTCTCTATTCTGAATTCTTTCCATTGTGAGGCTATTAAGCATCCTCACTTTTATTTGCAGTTGTTTTTTTCCCTAACATCAAGTATAATTGTTTTCTTGCAGTTAAAACTTTTAGAGAATGGTTTTAGATTGCTGAAAGTTGGGGGCTTGCTTGTTTACAGCACTTGCAGGTTTCATTGGCAGTTCTTGTGGCTTATAAACCTATTCCGCACACACTCAACATAAAAAACCAGAATGATGTTTTGATTGCCTGTTTTACCTTTTCCATCAATTAGTTTGACAGTTGCTCAGAATGAAGATATAGTAGAGCACTTTCTCAAGGAAAATGCTTCTGCAGGTATTGCCCCAAATATGTTCTATGAGAAAAAAATGTCTCAGAATTTTGTTATTGATGTTTGAACGCAGAGCCTTGTCTCTTTATCTTTCAATCTTATGGGATAAGAGATATTGCCTTTGGGTTGTGCAGAACTGCAGGAAATTGATGAAGCCAAAGGATGGCCCTGTAAGAGTGGGAGGATACCAAATACCTTTCGCTTTGATGCCTTGACATCACGAACTAGTGGACTTTTTGTAGCTAAGTTCACAAAACTGGCCGTTTAATTAAGGTTTGTTATTTTTAGTTCTCTAGAAGATGAATTTGCTGCATTTTTGCTTGATAATGCAGCTTCCTTGCATTACTTACTGATTTACTTGGGAATAATGTCTTTGGTTGTGGATAAAAAGTTCTTTATTCTTCCATTCCTCCCTTCTTCTCTCTTCCAGAACTGAATACATTTTTGAATGCAGAGAATTCTCTTTATAGCTTCATTTCATTCTCTTGGATCTCAGCTGCTGCCTGTTTTGCTGCTATTGGTACCGGACACTTCACACAAGAGGGAAAGGGGAGTTCATGGCGACTAGCGTTTCAAACAGTCAGCTTTTTTCCGAATAGAGACACCATTCATTCACAAACTGTACATTGGGCATTTGGGCTTTTTCTACCAACATAGTAGTTATTGAACTCATTACCACCTTACCACATTTTTTTGTATAACTGTCAAGGTGTTCTCATGTTTTATCTGTGACGTACTCTTTCTTATCGACTTAATATAATTAGAATTTTATTTTCGGAATGTTTCATACAAAGATTGAATCTTGATTGATAAAGAAGAAAGTTTCTACTCCTTACCAACCCGTATTGATACATAATGGGAGATTTAGGTCAATAAAATTCATTGCACTTATGAATGTGAGATTGTCAATAACATTCATGTAGAGATTCTTTGAGGACAATAATAATAATAATAATATAATAATAATAATAATAATAATAATAATAATAAGGTCAATAACATCTTTTTTAATTAAGTTTTTGTAAAAATTTTAAATTATATCATTTTTTGGTTTTTTTTTTATATTATTTTCATATGCAACCGTGCTTAAAAATTACAGATAAAAATTTAAACCATGAAACTTTTATTATCCGGAACGTGGGAGTGCATGTAAAACAATTTTCTTTGCGAGGAGACCAAGCAAATCCTATGCATGCTCGAAGAGTGGAAAATGTATTGCCTTTGCAATGATGTCAGCAATTGTGACGCCTTGGTCCACAGCTAATCGTGATCAAAATCTGAAGTGGATTGCCTTAATCCTGGGGGTTTCAATTCACTCTGTATTTCTAGCCAGTTTACTAGCTCTAAGTAAGGAGCAGCCCCCGTATACTTTCATTCTTATCCGCTCCAGCTGATTTTGACATTCCAAGTTGTATATTCTTCTTCCTCAGCAACTTGCCCCACCATCTACCATGCAATTATTATATATTCTTTGAACAATGCATTGTGAAAGTAACTATGGAATTTGAGTTGTTTATTCATCGTTTTTTTTAAAAGGTGTTTGCAGTTTAAGTATGAGACAAAAGGTTTTAAGTACTAAAATTTAAAATTTAAAATTATTGAATATTATTTTATATCTGTATAAATCATTAAATTAATCTGCTTATTCATTGTTTTTGCTACACGCATAAATTTTTATTCAAAATATAAAGAAGTGAATTTTTTATTTAGAGAGTTAAATTTTGTGTTTGCAGTGAAAAAACACCGTTGGTGTGCAACAATATTTACCTGTTTAAACAGAGCCCTCTTCACCATCTAAAGCTTTCGCTTCTCGTTTTCCTTGGAGAGCCATAGCCCATATAAGCAGCAGGGGTCATCCAATCCGACAATCGAGACAGCTCAGTCAATGTTTATCAGCAAAAGTCATCTGAATCATTTTGATGTTTGCTCCTATAAAAACCTTGCAATATTTTATAGGGTCCCCACTAGGCTGACGGATTCAAGTTTTCTCTCTTCCACTTTGCTACTCCTTTGACCCTCAGAAACTCCTGATTCTGGTCATAACTAGTCGTGGGATTGTAAAACCATGGTCTAACAATAACCAGCTGTTTTGTAATTTGCATACCCTTAATTAAGGTAAAACAAAAACTATAAATAGCAATGGTCAACAATGTTTTTCATAAACCTCATACACAGTAAGATTTTCTAATCCATTATTTCATTTTCTGTCCTTTTACAATATGGGTCCTTTGTTTTCAACTTCTTCTGCTGGAAAATGGCTGGGATTGGTCACAGCTATTTGGGTTCAGGCAATTTGTGGCAACAATTACACATTTGCGAATTACTCTGACGCATTAAAATCATTAATGGCTCTTACTCAGCTGGAGCTCAATAATCTTTCAGTCGCTAAAGATGTTGGCAAGGCTTTTGGGCTTCTTTCTGGCTTGGCTTCCGATTGTTTGCCAACCTCAGTTTTACTCATCATTGGATCACTCGAAGGGTTTGTAGGATATGGAGTTCAATGGCTTGTTGTCAGCCAACGAATTCGTCCTCTTCCTTACTGGCAGGTAAATATATAGAAATAGAATGTTACGTCAGAAGAATTATGCTAATAATATATAGTCCATCCTACACTGAGTCGACTTGAATTAGCTACACTGATTCCTGAAAATTGAAATGAACGTATATCTGCCTGTAAAGCTTTACTGTGTCTTAGCAGTATATGAAATTACCTGACTTTGGATTGTATGATCCATTGCAGATGTGTATATTCCTGTGTCTGGGAGGCAACAGCACAACATGGATGAACACAGCAGTTCTAGTGACTTGCATGCGCAATTTTCCAAAAAATCGTGGTCCGGTCTCAGGTATCCTTAAGGGTTACGTTGGACTCAGCACTGCCATCTTCACAGATATCTGCACAGCTCTCTTCTCTTCTGACCCTTCTACATTTCTCCTCATTCTTGCCGTTGTTCCTGCCATTGTTTGCCTCACTGCTGTCTTCTTCCTCCACGAAACCCCACCAGCTTCAAGGCCAAGTGAATTACAAAAAGAAACACAACATTTCCACATCTTTAATAGCATTGCTATCATATTAGCTGTCTATCTATTGACCTTTGATATCACTGGAAGTCATGGCCAGTTTTTGTCATTGATATTTGCAGTAGGACTTCTTATCCTTCTAGCTACTCCATTGGGAGTCCCATTATATTCTATTCTGTCCAAAACAAGGTCTAATTCTGATATTGAGCAACCAATCGAAGAGCCATTGCTTGTGAAACAATTAAGGAAGTCAGACACAGCAACTGCTGGTGTTAAGCTAGAGGATCTTGAAAGAAAACGACCATTGATTGGGGAGGATCACACAATCACTGAGATGATAAGAACATTTGACTTCTGGATATTGTTTGTGTCATTTCTTTGCGGTGTTGGAACAGGGATGTGTGTGATGAACAACATGGGACAAATGGGGCTAGCTCTTGGCTACTCTGATGTATCCATTTTCGTATCTCTCACTAGCATTTGGGGTTTCTTTGGACGCATTGCTTCAGGTTTATTATCAGAATACTACATCTGGTAATTAAATTTTGCTTATCCTTCCTGCTCCTCCTTTAAAATTATAATCATCCAACCACTTGCCATCTAATCTCTCAAAAATTATTTGATTTTTGCAGGAAATTTGGGACACCGAGGCCTCTCTGGAATGCAGCTTCTCAAGTTCTAATGGCTATTGGATATTTAATCATGGCTTTTGCCTTGCCAGGATCACTGTATATCGGCTCAATTCTGGTTGGAATATGCTATGGAGTTCGCCTGACTATAACAGTCCCAGTTGCCTCAGAATTATTTGGGCTAAAATATTATGGTCTTTTATACAACATCCTAATTCTGAACCTTCCCCTGGGCTCATTCCTATTCTCTGGCCTGCTTGCTGGTTATTTATATGATGCCCAAGCCAGTGCCAATGCTGATGGAGGCAACAGCTGTTTTGGGGCTCATTGTTACTGGCTTGTCTTTGTGATCATGGCTGTAGCATGTGTCCTAGGATTGGGCCTGGATATGTTATTGGCCATCAGAACTAGAAATGTCTATGCCGAGATTCATGAGAGCAAAAAATCCATTGCTTCAACTACAGATTCTTCATCAGCAAATAATTGAGCAAATGCTTATTTCTATGGCTGTAAATTATAGTATAGTAGTTGTATTATTCTCTTTGGGATTTAATTACCAAGTAAAACTTGATTGATTTTATAAAAAAAAAATCTCGATTTAACTTCAATTAGTACAGTTTACTATTTGATATAAATGATAATATTGTTTATTAAAATCAAAAGCCAATTTGAATATCAATCCATATCTATATCACTCAAGATATTTTTTGTAGGTTAATAGTATAATTTATATATTTAGTGGTTACTAAAGAAGTCCTAAGTTTCAAACTTTTCATAATTAATTGTTGAATAATTATTCATCTACACTATCTTTACATTAAAAATTATTTTTTATTATTGAAAAAGTAAATTTTTTATATTTTAAGAAAAATTTTGTATCCACGTGCCACACCCTTAAAAGCTAAACTCAACTTGCTATTTAAAGAAATAAAAGATTAATTTTTTTTTTGTTTTTATGTAGAGAGGTTTTGAAGTGATGGATTTCGTTTTATAAAAGTTATCACGGAATTTTGACAGTTAATACGATTAAAAAATGTAAATAAAATGTTCTGTTTACGTAAATATTAATTATATTTTTTTATTGAAATAATCTCAAAATGAAATCTGGCATCATAATTTAATCTCTTTCCTTCTTGAGGGCTAAAGCGACAAGCCGTGTCCAAGGCCTTACCAGGGAGAAAGCAAAGCTAAACCAAAAAGAACAAGAAAAAAAAAAGGGAAGAAGTTTAATGGAAACTGATAATAACAGTTCAAATTCGAAGACTTCAGCTTCTTCACTGAGATGGGGAATCCTTCGTCGTGCTGTTCTTAATCTCGCCAAAAATCCGGGTACCCTTTTGATCATTCGTTTCTATTTGTTTATAATGAAAGTGTTTGTCGTTGATTGTTGATCTTAATCAACTTGTAGAAGATGAGTCTCAATTGGCGATGAATATCATTTCCAGAAAAGCAACTAAAGGGTTCAACTTGATACCGTGTCAGCTGCTCCACCACGATCACGAGTCTAGAGATGCTCGACTCTGCTACACCTTACCCATTCAAGGATCTCCCAAGCTTGTTTTAACGTGAGTTTTCATTGGCCCTAGTTCTTTTCTTTTTTCCTTTGTTAACGACTGTTTTTTTTTTTTTCCGTTTCTTTGCACCATTTCTTCGAACACTTGGTGGAATGAGCGGTTAATGAATGTAACACTCTTTTTTTGTTAATGAATTATCATTGCTGACACTGAATGGGAAAAAGAATGAATTGCTTTTTCTTGGAATTAATTTTGCATCTCAAATCAAGCCTTTTTACTCTATAGGTGAAAACTGGTGCTTTTTTTTTTTTTTTTCTAATTTGCTTATTACTGAAGCTTAAGATTCAATGCATGTGTGCTAACAGTGAACGTGTTTGTTGTCTTTGAAATCTTATGCAGCCAGAGAGTGGATAATAGTGCCAGCCTCAGTGATTTTGAGGTGTGTAACAGATTCAACATTGACAATACTGGGCTTGTTTGTAAGTTTTTCCCCATTTTTTCATTATTTTTGAGTTGGACCACTCATTGTTTATCTTTAGCAGTTTAAAATTTCAAACTTTTTCCCTTTGTCATTAGTTGTCAAGGTCCATCTTTATCAAGTAAGATTCCTTTCTGGTTCATGGCAAGGTGGTTTGATAGTGTTAACTTATTGAGAGCATTACATCTTTTTAAGTGCTGATGAGAATTGTGTCATATTGAAGTTCCCACCCTACTGAAGATGGTAAACTTGTTTTAGGAAAACAAATAACAACATTTTCAACATTCTGTCATGATTGCCATTAATTTATTTGCTTGTGTCACTCTAATTGTAAATTATACATCTCAATAGTTACAAAGCTTTGAGAAATAAATGAAATGAGACACCTTTTTTTGTCTGAGTTCATGTTTTTTATCAGCTTGTAGTTGTTGAAATATCAAGTGTGCCAAAGTTCAGTGAGTTGTTGTCTTTCTTATTTATTTCCTTTCCTTTCTCATTTTAGATGTTCTTATACAGGTCAGTGGCCATCTGAAGATGTCCTTGCCTATTTTTGCTTATCACATGGCAACATGTTCAGGTTTGTAAAGCGGGTTACTCTTTTCTTATAAATTGCTTGAGCTTGAGAGCCAGGGTATTATCATAATTTGGCTGCTTGTGTTATTCTGTGAGTTATTTGTATTCCTTCGCTCTTGCATGATGTCTCTGCATTCTTCTTCTAATATACTAGGTCTAAAAGAGTTATTGAGCTTGGGTCAGGTTATGGCTTAGCTGGATTAGCCATTGCAGCTGCCACAGAGGCATTAGAAGTAGTGATTTCAGATGGAAATCCTCAAGTGGTTGATTGTATCCTTTTTACTTGGTCATGTAGACTGTTATTAAAAGAGGAAAAATGACAATCTTAGCTTAATGCTCAAAGCAAAAGGTAGTGATTCTAACAAGGAGATTTTGATTTTACCGATATTTTTTGTTTTGATTCAATCTTGCTTAAAGCCATTTTTTAACAACCTTGTTGTGTGAAATCTAGAAATTTCAGGTATCGAGTACTTAATATTTCAAAAAAAAAAACAAGGGTATTGAGTACTTAGTAACTTATGGTTTAACTCTTGAGTACTTAGTAACTTATGAGTTCTTCTTATTCTTTTTCTTCTTCCTCTTTCTGGAGTTTTAACTATTGTTTTCTCTATTGTGCTTGAATAATTAGCATTTAATGAGGTAATATGGTTTTTGCTTGATTATTTTAATAGAAGCATCACTGATTGATTGTTTTTGAGTTAAAATTTTGGAAGCTTTTGTAATTGTGAATTTATTTATTTTCTTGGATACCGGGGGATATTCAAGGTTCTTTTATGTTATATTATTTGTGGAGGAAACAATTTCTCCCTATCATTCCTTTTTCTTTCATTCTTTATTCACTTTGGATATATGTTCTGAGCTTCGTTAACATGAAGATATTCAGCATAATATTAACACGAACTCTGGCGCATTTGGCGAAACAAGTGTGAAGTCCATGAAATTACACTGGCATCAGAAAGAAATTTCAAATCTCTCTCACACTTTTGATGTCATTGTTGCAAGTGATTGGTAATTCCTATTATCTGCTCATGTGTTATCAATAGCACATAAATCATATTCAATCTTTTTTTGTTATGCATGACTACATGCCTTACCATCGACTGTGTTGTCAGTGCTTTGTGACTGGCAAATTATATCTTCTCTTTTACTATGGATGGCACCAGAGTGCTGGTCGCCATCAGTCCAATCCCTGCATGTACATGCCAGTCCACATCTGTTGATTTGCATGATCCATTCTTTTTCTTTCCTCATCAAGAATTTTATAATTGATCTAGTGAGGCTATTGGAATAAAAAGTTAATTGCTGGTTGCATTTTTAGTGGCCTGGGGATGTCTGCATGGCAAAGTTTTCTTCACTAGTTGAGAAAAAGTGTCTGTATGTGGTACATGCGGACACATGCTTGCACGTACTAATTTAATTTTCTAATCTTTATGCTGCACTTATCTTCTTTCTTATTCTTAGCTTGGCATCCAATTTTCAACAGCACATTTTTCAAGGAATTCCACAAAGATCTTGCTCGAATAACTCAGCTCTTGTTGAAAAATGTGGGACCCTCTGAAGCTATTTTTTTCAGCCCTAGAAGAGGCAACTCATTGGATAAGTTTCTGGAGGAAATTGAGGACAATGGCTTGCTTTTTAGCATAACAGAGAGCTATGACGCTGAAATCTGGAAGTGTCATCAACGGTTCATGAATGGTGATGACTCGTGGCCTGGCTATGAAAAAGATCATTGTTACCCATTATTAATTAGAATTACCCGATGAACCGGTGGAGCTCGTATTCATCCCATCATCCACAAATATTTTTGGTATCTATGCACGGTTCATGTGAAACTTATGTTGCCGGTTGACCCATGTTGGGCAGGCATGAGTAGTATACTGGTTATCTTGCAAGGCACCAAGATTCACATGTACATACACTGATCAAACTAAATTCAATTGCTATTTGCCAAGTTACTGTTGGGAACAGAAATGTACTGATGTTTTCTTTTTGATTTATCCTATTCATGGTGACTTCCTTTTTAAATTGTAACATGGCTGAGTGCACTGAAACTTTCCATGGATCATTCCTTATCTCCCTTTGGGCAACAAAGTTGGACTTTGAAAGCTTTTACTGTCAATGACTTAAAAATGACCCTTGCACTCTCCAACTTAAAAGAGATAAGTTAAACTACTTGATGTTCAAGTAATGGACTCCGCAGGAATTGGAAAATTTTCTTGCAACTTTAAGCTTTACTTGGTAGGACGGAAAGAAAAATGTAAAGATGAAATATTGAAAGAGTAGAAAAATGGAAAGATAGAAAACCTATTTTTTCTTTCTATTGGTTTGGTGTGCTTGATTAGACGGATAAGAGTTGAAAGTAAATGTAATTTTTTTTTTCATTCATTGTTCGATAGAGTTGAAAAGTAGAAGGAAAAACAAGTAAAAATTACATGATTTTAACTTTATAATCTTTTGTAAATGAAGATGGAAAAGAAAATTCTAAATATGATAGATAATTTTGTAAATATGTAATTCATGCTCACACCTCTCCCATTTTCTCTTCTCTTTTCTTTACAATTTGAATTGATTTGTTTTTGTTAATGAGTATGAAATTTTCTTTCCTTTTTTTTTAATTTTTCTATCAAGCACACTTAAAATTTATTTTCCTTATATTTTTTCATCTATCCTTTTCTATCCTTTTATTTTTCAGCTGTACCAAGCCCAACCTTTGACTTTTATGTTCCACCCATTAACATCCCTTCCTAATGTGAAAAGAAAATGAATGTAACTTCAACCTTAGTTGTTACGGAATCACTGTTTTTTCTTTAATCTTCTGCGTTTGTTTTGACTAAAAGTGGAACACCAAGTCTGAAACTTCTTCAATAAATTTTGGCTGCTTTTTAGAACTATTAATTCTCCATCTTCCTATTCTTCAGTATACAAACAACAAGTCTAGAACCGGTTCCTATGGCCAACCGCCATTGATAAAGTACTAACTTCTTAATTTTAGTGATCAAATTTAATATTGAACGACCTCAATTACCAAAAAAATCGGTTCCAATGGTTAGTTTCTTCAAACCCTTACAATGGAGGAAAGTGATTGAAATAGGGTACTTCATAGACGTCTAAAGCAGGTTACAACAGTGTAAGCCAAATCTGATGATTTAGAAAAGGATATCAAGGCAGAAAAAGACTTAGGATATCAAACTATATATATAATCATCCTTAAAGTCCACCTTCCATGGAGATTGTTGCTTTCATGTCATTTCCCTCTTTCAGTTCCTTCTATAAACACCACTGGCAGTGGATCCTGGTTGGTGCTCACACTATATCCTGATTTACATTTTCTTTCATCTAGCACATAATTTCCATACAAAGCTTTCAAAGATACACGGTAATTTCTAGAAAAAAAAAAAAAAGGCTTGAAAGACAAAGACAAAAGCTGAGGGAAATGGATAGATGGTAGGTTGTGGTGTTTTATTTTCCTTTCTTCATGATGATTTTTGCATGAATGGTGGTGTTCCTAAAACAAGTTGGGTGAAGAATCATTTCCCACAGGAATCTGATAGTCATTAATTTGGGCGGCAATTTGGATGGTTACTTTTGTTTGGCCTCTTCAGCTCTATATTTTCCTTCCTATTTCTAACAACATTGATACTTTTCTTGCATATGCCACGCCCAAAATTGCCCTACCATTTATCAAAATTAGAAAATTTCAATATCCGTCCCCACTTTGGCTATCTTAATCAAAGCTATGGTGACGTTTCACCACCTATTTCATCTTTATATATATTCCAAACAGAAAAATAAGTATTATTTAGAAGATGATTGATGATGACTTATATTAGTAGTCATATCTTTTTTTCCTTTTATAGACCAAAGGTCCGTTAGGAAAGGTAATCAGTGCTTCTAATATTTTGGAGTATATCACTCGTAATAATTATATCATAATTAATCAATTAAAATTTAAAATTATGTATACTTCACCGAAATATTATATAAAATTTACATATATAAATGATGGATATTTATATAAATTTTTCATCTTGATTGAACAATTACAAAATTACAATAAAAAATTACAAATAAAATGCTCGCATCGTGTTCACTTATTCAAATGGCACTGAATTAATCAATTAGATCCTGAAACGTCTTTTTTAATCAATCCGATCATTATTTTCTATTGATGCTAACTTCAACATCCACCTTGAATCTAAGCTTATCCTGTTTTCACATTACAAACCCACCCACTAAATGCTTTGATAAAACTAGGAAATAACCAATCATTTTAGATTGCAAAGCTATATTAAGTAACTATTTCAACAAATTCTGGTTTTGAAGCAAACTATTAATTGTGCAATTTTTCTCTTCAATGGAACAAAAATTCAGTTACAGACTATTTTATAGAAAGCTCATTTGAACATGTTCCTATAAAGAGTTCCAAAGAAGTTGAAGGTTTCTTCGATTATTAAAACTATCTCTGAAATTATCAACGATTGCAAATTCTACAAGCAGTTCTACACTCAAGTCGACGGCAAAAGAAATCGAAGTTGAAGAAGATATTATCTAGGGTCCTATTGTCACAGATTGCGGCTTCAGTTCCAGATTTGTGCCGTTGTTCGATTTAGGAATGGGCTCGTTCGATGTCCAAGATCAGTGTAACATTCAGATTGGTGTTCAGGCACTCAATACTTTAGGGCGTAACTACTGCTAACAATGCTGCATACAAGGTTTTTGAAGAAAGGCTAAAGAAAAAGTAAAAGATATAAGGCAAGAGTAAAACTTGAATGGTATATATAAGGGTGGAAGAACCCTCTAGAGGTCCCTTTATATGAACGGTTGAGATAAATCCTATTTAATAGCTTTCATAGAGTTCAAAGTTTGCATAAAATTACATAGGAGAGTTCAAATTTACAAGAATTTTATAAAAAGGAGTTTGAACCAGGTGGGACTATCTTTAGAAGTGCTCGCGCCTTGTCTTGCCATTGGGCCCTCACCTTAATCTATTTTGCTCACACCTGGGCTTACACTTGTACCCACGTCTGGGCCAATCTCGAACTTGTCAAACTTGATCTCTTAGTCAATGCTTACACACCCTTTCTGGGTCTTGGTCTTGCCTCCAAAACCTCTGTTACACCTTTGGGCCTGATCTCCTTAACTGTCTGACTCAGTCCCACTAGAACTAAAACTTCACCTTGACTTGGAGAGAACCCCTAGGCTTGGTCCATCCTTCGAACTGTGACAATCTTCTACATTTATTCTAGCAACACCCTCGTTGCCGGAGGGATATTGCTCTCGAACTGCATGTCATTGTGCATATCAGCTTTGTCTCCTGCCTTGCAAACCAATTTTCAGTTGTCTCGGTCCCATACTAGAACAAGTGCTTTGCTATCTCCGTTGTTCTTGATCTGAGTATTCTTAGCACTAACCTATAATGGTCCTTTTCTCTCAAGTTGTCAATGCTTTATCTTTCTTTGAGTTGCTTACTGCACACTCTCTCAAAAGGGATTTAGCTACACCTTGAGACTTATGTTGTAGCACTTCGCTGCCACTTTCCCTTCAACTCCCAAAGAGATTTCGACCTCTCGATAGAGTCGAATATCACCTTAGGCTCATGTTGGTGCCATTCATCACTGCTACTATTCTTGCCTTTGAACAACCTCTTTGCTCACTCGATGGTTGAAAGTTTAATACATTTTGGGCATTCCCTGACCTAATGCTAATTGTTATATAAAATGCAACTCTAGGGCTTCCACTCCTTGCCCTTCTCCACAACGGCTTTGTCGGTCTTGGCGTTTCAAAATCTAGGCTTTTCCATAGCCTCCTCTTTAAATAAAGAACTGCTACTTATGTCTAACCTACTATTACCTTTACTTCTAAGCTTTGGAGACTTGGTGCACTTAAACTCAATCATCGATTTCGTAGCATTAATGGCCTAACTTAACTTTTGCACGACTCTATACTGTAACTCGGTCTTTACCCACAACTACAAACCATCTAAGAAATAGATTAAAGCCTCATCCTAGCTCATACATAGGACCATCAATAACAGCTCTGAGAACTCTCTATAATAGTTTCAAATTCTTCCTCGTTAAGTAAGCCTGTGGAGCTCCTTTCGAGCTTCATCTTTCGCATACTCTGGCTTGAACTATTGGCTAAGTTTTTCACAAATTGGTCCCATGTGGTGATTTCCCATTCACTACATCGGACATTGTCATCCCTATGGTGCCATAAAAAAAAGCATTATCGCTAAAAAACATAGTAGTTGAGCTTACCTTACCATCATCTGTTGTCCCTGCGACTCAGAAGTGTTGTTCCATACCCCACACACAGTCGTCCACATAGAGTTGGCATCGGGGGGGCGGGGCGGTTTTTTGCTTTCCCCGCCTCCGACCCGATGCTTCAATGTTTTACCCGATACCTGATTCGTCCCCGCTCGGAGGTTGTTATTGAAAAACCCGACCCCGACCCGCCAGAATATTATTTACCCGAAGTTAACCCGACTCGACCCGACCCGAATTCAATCTACTACCTATTTAAATTTACCAAAAATGTAATAAATTATAATCTAAATATATTATAAGCATTAACAAATTTAACAGAATCACTCATAAATTCAAACTTAGTACATACTATTTTTTTATCTAGTAAAAATCTCATAAATTCTCATCATAAATAATAGAATTATAAAATACATAAAATATAGTAAATTCAAACTCACAAATTCTTACCATAGATGATGGAATTATGAAATATATAAAACTTAGTAAACTAAAATTCAAATATTAAACAAGCATAAGTTAATAAATAAATTTAAGCATAATACATGATACAAGATGAACATCAAAAGCTTAAATCACCATAATAAAAAGCTAAATTGTTTGAACATCCTTTCATCCAACATGATAAAAATCTTTCAAGATCACAATAAATCATTCCATCATCACTAAGCTCCATATCATCATTCTTCTCTAACCACACTAGTCCTATAAAATAAAACAATAAGATGAATAAATAAATCTCATAAAATAATATATTTAAAAATAATAATATAAAAATGAATTAATTAAAAAAGATAATATTATTTACCAAACTAGTTATCTTTTCCTCAATCTCACTCTCATCAACATCTTCGTAAAAATATTTTTCTTCTAATGAAATTGACCTTACAAATAAAAAAATAAACTATTAACAAATAATATATAACAACAAAATATAATAACTAACAACATGCTAAAATAAAAAATAAAATTGCATAATATACATTATTGTACCTTCTTCT